ATCGTAGATGCTTGAAATTTTAACACAATCTTCTCTGAGGCATGCCATATGGTGGGATACATTTTCGCTTAAATCCGATATTAACTTCCTGTTTGTCGGTGCGTCTATCCGTTTCATACATAACAAATTTTCGTCAAGCTTTTCTCGGCAACTACTCATCGTAGATGCTTGAAATTTTAACACAATCTTCTCTGAGGCATGCCATATGGTGGGATACATTTTCGCTCAAATCCGATATTAACTTCCTGTTTGTCTGTGTGTCTGTCCGTTTCATACATACCAAATTTTCGTCGCAGTTTCTCTCAGCAACTACTCATCGTATTTGCTTGAAATTTTAACACAATCCTCTATGAGACATGCCATATGGTGGGTTACATTTTCACTCAAATCGAATGTCAATTTCCTGTTTGTCTGTGTGTCTGTACGTTTCATACATACCAAATTTTCGTCGCAGTTTTCTCAGCAACTACTCATTGTAGATGCTTGAAATTTAAACACAATCTTCTCTGAGGAATGCCATATGGTGGGATAGATTTTCATTCAAATCGGACATTAACTTCCTGTTTGTCTGTGTGTTTGTCCAATTCATACATAACACATCTTTTACACAGTTTTCTCATTTGTTTATCATAGCGGATGCTTGAAATTTTATTGCACTCTTTGTTGAGGCATGCTATTATGGTGGGATTGATTTTGATATAAATCTCATGTCATCTTCATATTTTTCTTTGCAGCTGTCTGTAATTGAGCTTATGTATATTAACATGATAGTGCTTATTTACATCAGAGCGGGGGTATTACTAGTGAGCATTGGCTCACAGGTTTCTTGTTTGTAAATGACAAAAATGGTTATTTCAAACAGACAAGAAAGTTATTCAATCATTTCACTTCGCCCTTTTTCACTGCATCCTAAGAAAAATATCATTTGTTCATGGATTTTACCCACAAGCAATATTTTCTATATGTTATTTTTTTGCTAACTAGTAAGCCACATCATTTACAAATATATAACTATTGAAAAAATTAGCAAAGAATAAATAAACAATTCATGACTATTTATTAGAAGAAAAAAACTAAAAATGCCTTGGTTTAATGCAATTGAATGCATTATTCTGAAGGAATCTGATTACAATTCACAGTAATAAAAACATTTTAAAATTAAAAATGTACACATCAACACTGGTACTCAGAGCACTTAAATAAGATTGAAAATAATTCTGACATTTTTTCTCTTTCAGATCCAAAACTTGAAAAAGAAATTGGTATGTTAATACTAATAAACCTGTATGTATGCTTCTCTTTCTCGAACACGGCTTTAATTGTCAAAGTGAAACCGAGGTCTCGGCCGTTTTTGTGTACAATACATGTAAATGACCAAAATAAATCTCAAATATCTCAAACACAGAACTGGTAAACATGCTATTTTTTGAAGTTATTTTTCTCTCCTGGGTCATATTTAGCAATAAATCTAAGCGCAAGTCTAACACGATCAAGGATGCCTCATCCAATATAGTGAATTTCATGGCCCCCCGGTCAAAGGTTCTTTTGGTAATGTAGGGTTCTACTGATAATATAGTAGAATTGGATGTTTCATTAGAAGGCAAAGTGCATAGTTATGATGATCACAGTGTATAATCTTCTGTTGGGGCAAGGCTCTGGGTTTTAATTGGGGTAGTACAATAGTTTACGTGACACGTGATGTCGGTTTATACTGTTTAATCCGAAGGACAAGTTTCTTAGTCCAACGGTGGGATTCGAACCCGTGACGGAAGGATCAACTTCTTACGTAACGACTCTATAGCAGATGCTCTTACCACTACGCTACACAGGCGACTAAATAAGAATGATATGCTATCATGTTATAATTTTTGAAAACTACTGTATACAGGGTTATTTTCGCCCCGTCTTATTTTCGCCCTTTCACACTTGCAAACAATTTTGCCCCGTTTTAAATTCGTCCAATCATGGTTTTGTTTAAGAAATTTTACTGTATTCTTTGAATTCGCCCCGTTTTAAATTCGCCCAAAAGATCGTAGGGCGAAAGGGGCGAAAATAAAACGGGGGCGAAAATTTCCCTGTATACAGTATATCGGCTCGGAATTTTATTCATGTTTTCATAAAATTTAACAAAACTTATATTAGTTTGGTAATATTTTCCTTAATCTTCCGTTTTTCTTTTTTTGATTAGATTCCAGCAGAATTATGATTGAAAGACATGAACAGGACATGACAAATACTTTTGTTAAAATAAGAGCTTTAGAGAGAGCAACACAACTGTTAGAGGAAAATAGTTATGCTTTCATAAAGGGTAACCCTGGCTCGGGGAAAACAACGCTTGCTAAATGGTTGTTAAAGATAACGCCCACTTCAGCTTTTTAAGGTGTCTAAACTTTATGGCAGAGTGACAGCAGATGATAACATTGCAGTCTTCATAGACAACCTGTTTGGTGAATTCTCGTTTTCAAGTACCGAGTTCAACGAATTTATCAATAAAAAAGAATAAATCAAATCTGTTTTAAAATCTTGCGAGAACAGATCGGGAAATGTTTTACTTTTGACAATCAGGAATGATATCTACATTGAAGTGGTAAAGAAGAAGGATATGGAAATAGAAATAGATATAGAAACAAAAGGCCAATCCATTCTTCTGTACTTCTGTGACCGATTTATCAAGTGGTGAATATGCTTTACAAACGGACGAAATAGAAATGTTTCTCAAGAAATATGGTTTGTCTGCAGAAGGCAAGGATGAAGATATATGAAAGAAAAATTCTCTGAATTATATCGAACACTGGGGTTTCCTCAGTGTTGTAGCTTAGCACATAGAAATCCCGAGTTTGGAAAAAATAATTTAACTTTCTTTAATGATCCTCATCTGTATCTTAAAGACTACATTGACACCCAGATAAAAGAAAAACATGCTAAAACTGCTGTACTTATATACATATTACTGAAAGGTGGTCAAGTGGAAGCGGCGCTCTTAGAAAATCAAAAGGATCGGGAAACTAAAATGGTTGCTTTGGGAATGCTTGAATTAGGACTTTCATCATTTGGCCAATTCCAAGAAAGTATTCATTTATATAAAGATTTCTTAACAAAACATGATGAAATAAATAATGCCTACACGTTCTCGCACAGTTCTGTTCAGGAGGCAATATTTAGAGAAATGTTTGTTGCATTTCCAGAAGAAATAACAAGCAATTGTCATCATTCCTTGCTTCGGTGTTTGACCACAAATATAAATTTAAAAAGTACACAGATTGTCATAGAGAAGGAAATGTTTGAAATTGTCGCCAGTCGGATCGAAGAGATATTGAAGGAAGGTTCAGACTCGGGATTTCGTTCGATGTCTGTTTTGGAGCTTTGGAATGACTCAGACTTTTACGATCACATCCTACAAAATGACTTATGTATTGAATGTATTAAAAAACAGCTGGATTCCAAAGGAAATAGAATGATAGTATATTTCGCCAAAGCAGGTCATATTAATTGGGTTCGTCACCTGCTGCTGATTTCAGATGAAACACAAAAGTATCGCTCACTAAATGCTGCATGCACAGAAAATTGAAAATTTTATAAGTGCGCTTTAGCGCACGCAATGAAATATAATTTTATGAGTAAACTGAAGTAAGGTATAAAATTAATGATGTATTCTTCCGCGTTTCTTCGATTCGCAAGCCCTTTAAAGTAATCGGGATCAATGTAAAAATACTAACACTTCCTTCTAACGATGGCGAGCGATCAAAGAAAGACTGACTTCTGCTAGCAGATAAATAAATACATAATAATTGATGATCTAAGTCAAACAATTTTTTTTGAATTAATGATGCATAAGGATAATATGTTTATTCCTTCTTCTTTAATTTCAACTATCTGGTTGTAAATTCCACAACAACTAAAAAATTTTAAGAAAAGATTGTCCAATCTCTTTGGTAATGGGCGCCGCATTTCACTTTTCAGAATTTCTGTTGAATCTGCTCACTGTCAGTCCTGTAACTTGTTTTTGTCATCTTAGCTACGTCTTGTCTCTGAAATCAAACAACCGACCAATCATTACAAACAACTTCATTTTATGTATATATACAAACACATTTTATTTCATTGTTTGTTTTATTTATTTTAATTTTTTTTTTAAATTATTATTATTATTATTATTATTTTTATTTTTTTTTTAATCAACATTATAACTTTTATACATGATGTACATGGTATACAAAATAAACATCAAATATGTATATGTATTATAATACATTTTTTATATATACATTTTTTAATATTGATATTGGGTTGGGCTGGGTGTGTTATACCTTACTTCAGTTTACTCATAAAATTATAATTTCATTGCGTGCGCTAAAGCGCACTTATAAAATTTTCAATTTTATATCGTAAACTGAAGTAAGGTATATGATGTATTGTTTAAAGCCCATGTGCATTATAGTTTCAAAACATGTTCTTGAAATCTGTCATCATCATCATCAACAATTGTGCGATTGTAGAACTTCCTATAATGTTTCACAAGATTTCCAATTTCCCTTGCTAATAATCTGTTCAATGGATAAACCATGCTTATTGGCCTTAGAAGTACTTGCCCCCCTTGTTGAGTGGGGCTTGAACACTGAGACATCAATTCCTGACAGGGCCAAAATATTTTTTAACCATTTTGCTATTGTGCAGGATCTGACCGCTTTGTGTGGTTTTATGAAACTCACAAACAGCTGTGTTTCCTCTGCCCTAATAATTTTGGTTTTTTACAAATATTCTATTGTGCAAGAAATGACATCTAGCTTTAAGTTTTCTTGATATTTTGGAAACTTGACAGAGATTGGATTTTGACCCACTCTCCTTGACTTTGTTAAATCTTTCAGTGTAAATACTATTTCATCCTCAGCGATGTTCATGTTTTCAATATCAAGTTTGTGAATTTCAGATGATCTGCTTGCTGAGGAAAGGGTCATTAACATGCATAATTTCATTGAAATTTCCTTCAATGATAGCTCTTCATTGTTTTTCATGCCTATGATATAAGAAAGTACTTTGTTAACATCCCACATTTGCATGTATCTTGGCCTGGGTGGTTTTTTATTGAAAATTCCTGTCATGAGTTGACAGATAAGGTCATGTTTCCCTATTTTATTGCCTTCAATTTCTACATGAAATGCAGAAATTGCAGACCTGTAACTGTTAATTGTTCTGTACTCATAACCTTTAGCATATAGCTCTGCCAAGAAATCAGCTACATGCTCCACAGTGGTTTGAAATGGATCAATTTGTTTTGATTGACACCAGCTATCCCACTGTCTCCAGCAGCTGTTGTAAGCTGTCTGAGTTCCTTGTCGCCATCCCGCAGCCAAGAGCTCGGAAGTTTGCTCCGAAACTCCTGCTGCTTGTTTTCGTCTCCTGAAACCTTCCAGGCCACTAGTTTTAAGGTTTGACTTTTGACTAGTGGGTGTGGCTTTCCCTCTGGTGACAGTAGTAGGTTTTTCATGGGAGGTAACAACATTGGGTGATCTATTGACAAGGTCAGAAGTAAGGGATAGTATGGCTGAGTCTGCCATGCAGGGGTTATCATGACCATTTCTGATTTTTCTTTCAGAATTTTGGACAGGCACCTTATTATTAGGCAAAATTGGGGAAAAGCATATCCCCTTTTGCTGTGCCATGTTATCTGGAATGCATCTGTTCCCTTTGAGTATGGGTCTGGGCGCCAGCTCATGTAGTTTCTCAGTTGTGTGTTCAACCTGTCTGCAAATAGATCTATATCTAGTGGCCCCCACCTCTGATTTATTTGTTTGAATATTTCTTTGTTCAGCATCCAATTGCTGCTGTCCCTCATCTGACGACTCTCCAAGTCTGCTTGAACATTCTGTACTCCGGGCAAATGTTCTGCAGTAATCATGATCTTTTTGGATAGACAATGAGTCCATATTTGTTTTGTTATTTGTAGTAACAGTTCTGACCTGGTTCCCCCCATTTTGTTCAGATAAGCAACTACTGTTGTGTTGTCTGATTTTATGTGAATATGAATGTTCTGCTTTTGTTTGGTCAGTGACTGAATTGCAAACTGTACTGACTTGAGTTCCAATATATTGATATGCAGCTTTTTCTCTGAGGGGTTCCAGGCCCCCCCCCATCTTTAAGTTCTGATTGAGACATACTGCCCCCCATCCTGTTTTTGATGCATCTGTTTCTACAACCAAGTCTGGATTTGTCGACATTCGAATTTGTTTTCCGTTCCAGTGTTCTAGTTGCTGTAGCCACCAGTTTATCTCTCCTCTGGAGGTCTGGGGCAGGATTATCATTTGTTGATAATTTCTTTGTGCTTTCAGCAAGCATTTTGTGTGGAACATTTGAAGTTCCCTCACATATAGTGAGGCTGGGATGACAGCTTCGACTGTCGCATTCAGTGTCCCTATTAAACTTGACAATTCTTGTATTGATACTTCTGTTTTGCTTATCATGTCTAAACATTTTCTTTTGATACTCTCTACTTTTGTAACAGAGAGTGTTATCTCCATTTCTACTGAATTTATTGTTAGACCCAGAAATTCTAATTGCTGACATGGAATTAGAACTGATTTTTTCCAGTTTATTAACCAGCCTAGATTGTGAAGCAACCATAGAAGTGTGTCTCTGTCTTTTAAGAGCCCTTCTTGTGATTGATTTAGCAACAATATGTCGTCTAAGTAAATCACAAGTCGGACTCCTATGCGTCTCAATAGGGCAATGATTGGTTTCATTATCTTGGTGAAAAGTATCGGACCTGATGCCAGCCCAAATGGTAGACCTTTGTACTGTAGCATCCGGTCTTTGTACTGAAACCTCAGATATTTTCTGTGGTCCTTGCAAATTGGTATGCAAAAGTAAGCATCCTTTAGGTCTACTTTGCATAACCAATCCCCTTTCTGTATCAAGTTTTTGACTACCTGAAACCCCTCCATTTTGAAGTGATTGTACACTACAAATTGGTTTAGAGCTTTCAGATTGAATATCGGTCTCATTCCCCCATCTTTCTTGGGGCGTACAAATAAATGACTGACAAACTGACAATTTGTCTCTGTCTGAACAATCTCCACTGCCTGCTTGACTAGCATCTCCTCTATTTCTGAGTTTAGAATCTGCATTTCTTGATTTGATAATTTTATTTGCTTTGGTTGAGCCCTCTGAATTGGTTCTGAACTGAATTCTATTTTGTACCCTGAAATACTCTCCAATAAGTTTTGATCTTTTGTAACCATTTCCCAATTTTCCTGAAATGCTTCTAACCTCCCCCCCAGGGGTATTTCGTGTTGACAAATTTCTTTGAACTTGAGATGTGCCACTGCGGCATGTAGATTGTTCAGACTTGAGATTTTTTCTATTTGTTCTAAGATGAGAGGAATGCCGTCGATAATTTCCATACCTGTTCTCCCCTGATCTGGGTTTCTTTGGAATCTTAAATCCTGACTGCGCAGGTTTTCTGTTATTCTGGCTGGAGTGGCTGCCCTGTTTTGGCGTCCAAGTTGATTGTCTGCCCCCACGCCCATACCCACGCGAGGGCCCTGCACGAAAGGGCTGCTGGGACTGATCTGTCCTCCTCTTTTTTGACTGTATTTCTTTTGAGATCTCTCTTGCCCTCTTGCGACTCTTACTTTTGCGATCTAGTGCCTTAAACACTTTATCTCCATAAAGCACTTCTTTTTCTTTGCTGAAATCATGCTCATTAGTTTTTAGATGTTCCTTTGCTTTCTTGACACCTTTCATTATCTTGGCCAAGAAATTGACTCTGCGCTCATATAGACAAGTGGCATTTGCCTGGCTAACCAAAACAACAGTTTGTTCTATGAGTTTGAGCATGTCAAGCACAGTAAATTCAGTGTTCTCCTCCTGACCCTTCCTGGCCCCATCAACAGCCTGCCAAATCTTGGCCAATGGCCCCATAATCTGGCCAATTTTCTTTTGAATAAAAGACAGACTTTTGTCCTGCATTTTTAAAAATTTCATAGCATTATAATCTATGAAATCCTGCACAAAATCATCAACTTTAGGAGGTGTACAGAAAGCATTAGCAGGCACTGGGGCTGCGTCTAAAATATTGCGTTTAATACTGTCCTCTGTCAGATGCTGATAAAAATATTTCTGACAGTATGTAGCCATGCTGCCTTCAAGTGAGAAAGAATTCTCACCTTCTGTAGGGTCAAATCTCTCCCCATCAGATTCTGCCTCCAGAGAAATGACATCAGAATTGTCTAGCAAATCTGGTTCTTGATGGGTCGAGTTATCATCATCATCAGAGAGATTAGATCTCTCAGACTCCTGCCCCGATTCATACGGGTTACTCTCCGAGTCAGAACGTACATGGCCATCCTGGCTATAACTCATGGTGAAAATGCACAACGTGCCCTCATAAAATCACACAACGTGCCTAAATAATAATGCACAACGTGCCTACAGAAACTGTTGAAGCTTTCTTGATAATAAAAAAAACAAAACTATTCGAGTAAAAATGACGATTTTTTCCGATACAAATTTATGCTGAGAAAAGCGTCTGCTCGTTCGCGAAGCCAGCGGAAGAAGGAAGTGTTAGTATTTTTACATCTCGATCCCGATTACTTATAAGGGCTTGCGAATCGAGGAAACGCGGAAGAATACATCATTATACCTTACTTCAGTTTACGATATAAAATCAAGAAACCATTGTGAAGATGATTCTATCGAGCGGAGTTAAATCTAATATAACAACTTTTTTTCACGCAATACAAGGTGGAAATCTGAAACTTTTCATGGAATTATGGGAATCAGTAGACGCACTTCAATCTTCTTTCTCTCTTCATCCAAAGTGTTCCAACACCAACAACAGTTTACTCCACGAGGTTTGTTCAATTGGACATTTACGATTTGTGGAACATTTGTTACGTCGTTACCCTAAACTTAAGGACATAAAAAATGAGTTCGGTGAAACAGCAATTCATTCTGCTGCACAATCTGGAAATATCAATGTGTTCAATCTTCTCTTAGAAGCCGGTTTAAATCCTTTAGAAAGAAATTATAAATTGGAAACTGCTCTGACATGCGCCGTAAAATATGGAAAACTATCCATGGTAAAATTCTTGGTAAAACAATACCCAATATTATTGCACTACCATAACTATTACTGTGGAAACACAATTTTACATCTGGCTGCCTTGTCTGTTGATATTTTTGGTTTTTGTACTTTGTCTCTATGTACGCTTCCGTTTGGAAATACAAGTTTCTCTCCGATAATGCGTGTCTTGAGGTTAGCTTTCCAGTATTTACTGTGCAACTCCAGTAGTTTTTTCCTATTTTCTGATATTTCGATTGGAGTTTGTGGGGTAATGAAGAAAGTTGAATTCTGTTGCTCGGAAGAATTCTGGTTATTTTCATCTGCTTGTTCTGCACGTTGATTTTTAATTTCCCTCTGAGCCTGTAAGATTAAGTCCTTATCCGTGAATTTGTTGAGTCTCCCCGTGATGGTTCTTGCCTTTCCTTGTATTTTTGGACGGTTTCTGTGAATATTCGCAAAAGATGTTTCTTCTTTAAAATGCGTCTTGATAAGTTCTTGGATTTTAACGAATAGATCCTCGTCATCTTCTTCAGGAAGATTATGTATCAAAATATTTTGTTTCATAGATCTCGATTTGAGATCGATTATATCATTTTGATTTTTTATTAGTGTTCTCTCCAGATTTATTACAATACATTTTAGCATGTTGACATCTTCTTTGAGGGACCTATTCTCTTGTCTCAGAAGCTGAAGCTCGTCATCCCCATCTGCTTGTTGCTGGGCTATCAGTTTGATTTTGTGATCGAACCCATCTTGTTCCCACAAGTCCTTCTTGATAAGGATATGGAAATAACGAACAGTATTCAATCTCAACGTCCATTAAACAAATATACAAAATAAGAGCAGAGCAAACACGGACCTCCGAAACATCAGAGGTGGGATCAGGTGCCATGGAGGAGTGAGCATCCCCTGCTGACCGGTCACACCCGCCGTGTGCTCATTGTCATAATCAGGAAATAACGGAAAAAATCCGTAGTCAATTCAGTGTATAAATAATGGACTAACAATTGGTATGAAAAACGTCAGTCAGCATTTCATTCAATGATAAATTGTATTTGCTGACAAGGTCATTGTATCGACCATAGAACCCACGAAATGATGATTTTAAACGAGACTGTCGATATTATTGTTTCATCAACCTGTTTGTCAATAATTTACCTCGTTTAAGAAATTGTTCATACGCTTGTTGATCTCGCTTATTTCCTCGGTAAGATTTCTGATTGTCCTGAGTGAATCCGTTATCTCCCCGAGGCTAGCTTGAAGACTAGGTAGCTAATGCACAGCGCTGACCAACTCAGGTGTGAATTGATTACCTATAATGCTGGGTACCGAGAAAGTATGTCCCTCTAGCAGTGATTTCTGCTCAGTGTGACTCCTGTTTCTATTCATAATTGTACGAATATCCAAATATCAAAGTTTTGTAAATTATAAGCTTCGAAAAAACAGAATTCAACAATCTTCACTACTTACACTATGAAATACACGCTTTAAACACACATTAAATCCACCTATTGGAAGAAATATAACCTTTTTTCGGCTCAAAGCGGGAGCTCAGAAAAAAATGACCGGCCTAAGCACTGTCACTGAATTTACGTATACTAGTATACTTGCAAATTCTGGAAAGTATCAGAACATAATTTATAATTTATCCATATATCATGTGCAGCATGAATATAGACATATCGAAAACCACTAAACTAGAATAAATATTTAAGCTTATGCAGAATTACCGTAATAGTCAAATTCGATGAAAGTACACAACTACTAACTAATTGAAAAAGTTATTTACTGTAAGTTTGTATTTTTAACTAGTGACTTTTCATAATTTACATTTTTGAAGCGTCAGACGGGAACCGGCATATTCCTCTGTGATGTGCGTGAATCTTCTAGGAGCGATTTTACTACCACACCACCGCGAAACGACCACTAGTGCGTTATTTATGTCATTATCAGCCATGCGATTTTTGACTATTTCTAATTGTTGTTCGTCTACGTCAACCTCTCTTGTTGTTTTATCTATTTCATTTAGAAAAAAATCTGCTGATGACTTAAGTTTAACAGTCTCCCATTTCAATGCCACCACGCAGGAATGTCTCAAAGATTGGATCTTGTTAAAATAATTAAAAATAGGGTGAGGGTAACTTCTTCCGCTTCTTCGGTCGAGTATTCATTATTCTTGGTTAACATATTAATTCTTGAGTAAATATTTCTAACTACAGTAGATGGTCATGAATCTTAAAAAAGTTGCCCCATCTTCATTATCGAATGTTTCGACAATAGTAACTTTCCTTTTTTTGGAACGCTGATTCTGAGCTATATCAAAAAAAGGGATAACACTTGTGGAATTTTGCCTATCCGACATATGTCTATATCAACTTTACTAAGTATCTAAACGCGTATCTATATTATCGTCTAAACATGAAGACAAATATCAAGAAAAACTTACCATTGGAGGACTCGGAGGTTGTAGACTTTTTACAAAGTCTCTGACTGCTGCTATCTCTTCCCTTAAACCCGCCATTGCCAGCATTACCTCCTCAGGGAGGGAAGTTGTTGTTCCCTTTGCATTATCTCTCGCCTCGCCCAATACGGATTTCCATTTCACACCCTGTATGATTCCGTATTAGGTCACTAACTGACTGTGTAACTAATAATATCTGATCTGAATTCAATAATGGATATATTAATGATATAACAGGTAAACGTAAATGTTTTACACGGTGTCACATCCATACTTCAGAAAAAAGAAAGAAAAAAGAATGGTATCAAAGTACCTAATAATTTAATAATTATGAGTATTTTTTAGTTTAAGTTTTCTGGATAAATTACCATAAAACAAAGTTTTATTCAATAAGGTTTAAACTTACTTTGAATGTGGAAGTAGACATTTCTGTTGTAATAAGACATCTTGATGGATTACTGCCCTTTCCTAATTCTCAAAGAATCATGCTCTACGTATGAACAATTTCTTAAACGAGGTAAATTATTGACAAGCAAGTTGATGAACCAAGAATATCAACAGTCTCGTTTAAAGTCATCATATCGTAAATTCTATGGTCGATACAATGACCTTGTCAGCAAATACAATTTATCAATGAATGAAATGCTGACTGACGTTTTTCATACCAGTTGTTAGTTCAATATTTATATGTTACAGTAAATATGTGAAATAAGGAATTTCATGTATTTCCTAAAACATTCAGTAAATACATGTATTTACTGGCTGCTTTAGGAAATACATGTTATTACTGAATAGCTAGGAAATTCATGTATTTACTGAAATTTTTAGTCAATTTTACACGTTTTAACTGAACAAAGCAGGATGAATATATATGATTCCTTATTGTACTTCTTATGTAAAATGAAGTTTCTAATTTTCACATTTCAAAATTATTTCTAAAGAAGCTATGAATTTAGATCATTTAGCATCAGAATAATGTATTTGAAATAGTTTTTAAATTATTTTTATTATAAGATGTATAAAAAATGTACGAATTATAAATGGTGATATAAGGAGTACTGTTTATTCGAGTCTCACATCTTTAAAATTATGGTAAAATAGATATGTTTCGCAATTTTCAGTGATTTCGAACTACAATTTGTTTTTTTTTTATTTTGAACTATTAAAATTGCTAGGATTGAAAATTCTTCAATGTAAAATTTTAATTTTAATTCCTGGCTTTAATTCCGTTACATTATGTGTATTTTACAAGGGGAGGGGGTGGGTGGTTTGTTTCATTTTTGAGGAGACAACATAAAAATTGTTTTATTTGTAAATAAGATGCTTCAGGGTTATAAATTTACTGTCAAAAACTGTAGCATTGTATGAATATCTAATAAAACAAGAAATGCCAGTAGGCGATTTTAGTTTTCTAGATTAAAATATATAAAAATAATTGAAAGTTAGTTAAAGTATGCAGTGATATAGAAAACACATTTCAGTAAAAATGAAAGCAGAGTATTATTATATTTTAAGTTAATATTTACAAATAATACATTTTAAAAATTTATACGTAAATAAAAGTTTAATTAAACAAAAATTAATTCACATATGGTATTCTTACTGATAGAACATTGATTATACTGTACATCCATTCATATTTTATTATTCAAATTTTAAATTATCCCACAAAAAACGCTGTCAGTAAATATGTGTAAAAAGTATTGAAAAGTTCAGTAATTACGTGTATTTCCTAACTGAAATTAGTAAATACTTGTATTCCCTAAGCAGAATAGGAATTTCATGTATTTCCTAAAATTCAGGAAAAACCTGAAATTCCTGGTTACACATATTTACTGTAACATATACACTGAATTGACGACAGATTTTTTCCGTTATTTCCTGATCATGACAACGAACACACGGCGGATGTGACCGGTCGGCAGGGGATGCTCACTCCTCCATGGCACCTGATCCCACCTCTGATGTTTCAGAGGTCCGTGTTTGCTCTGCTTTTATTTTGTATATTGTTTAATGGACGTTGAGATTGAATACTGATCGTTATCTCCATATGCGAGACGCAGAACTACAATAACCAATCATTCATGTATCAAAGTTTCATGATAATGTTTCAAGGACCAGAGAAAACACTCATGGACAAAAGTTGTCACTTCTTGTACTTTCCCATGGTAACGGTAGCCATTTTAAAACTGGAAATCATCATTGAAAAATTAAAACCAGTCTGTCTTTAGAGAAGGATATTGAGATAACAAAAAGTATTCAATCTCAAAGTCCATGAAACAATACAAAGTACGATCAGAGCAAACACGGACCCCCGAGAAATCAGTGGTGGGATCATGTGCCATGGCGGAGTGAGCATCCCCTGCCGACCGGTCACACCCGCCGTGTGCTCGTTGTCATGATCAGGAAATAACGGAAAAAATCCGTCGTCAATTCAGTGTATAAACAATGGACTAACAACTGGTATGAAAAACGTCAGTCAGCATTTGACTCAATGATAAATTGTATTTGCTGACAAGGTTAGCATAGAATTCCATTTTGGTTGAAGAAGCAGCTGTCAATGATATCAAAAAGTCTGGATTTTAATTTGTCGTTGTATATAAAGTTGAAAAGTCGTAAGTTTTTAAGCTGTTGATTTTTTATAAAGTCTTGTGATTTCAAATTGTCCAAAAGTTCTTTACAGTTTTTAAGTATCCACATCTGATTTACACCACTTCTTGAGTATATAGTTGCACAGTACTCTTGAAGTTTTTCCTTCACTACTGTCAATATTTTAGTGAGAAGTAACGAAAGAGGCTTGAAGTTGAATATGAAAGATAAATGCTTTACATGTATCAGATGACAACAATTTAACTGCTTTGCACATTAATCTTAGCTTAAGGTTCACAAACTAATATGGGGCTATCAAATTTTACACAAATTGTTTTATTTCTTCCATAGAAATTTGGTCTCAAACCAGTTAAATAGTTTATTACAAATTTGTAGTGTAAAGTATGTTAAATTTCTTTAAATTTCATTATTCATATGTGATGCTTTTCTTGGAAAATTTCTGTCAGTAATTGTTATTTAAATTTTGATTTGTCGGGGGTTTGTGAACCTTAATTTGTTGCTCATAAAAGCTAGTCAAAGGAATGGTTGTGACATTCTTGCGTTTTTCATTTTTTAAAATTTTTTTTATATATTGGTGGACAATATATATTTTTGAATGTTTAAGATGATTTACATGCAAAAGATGTATTGTGATTACTGTTTTCTCTTTTATTGTATTTTGTTTTACTGATAATATATGTCAACAGTCACTTTCCAGTTATATGCATGCATGAATTTTAAAGTGATTTACATTTTATATTGGTATATTTGTGCAATATATATATATATATATATATATATATCTTTAACAGAAAATGAAGATTGACTTTACAATTATATACATGCAAGAAATTTAATGTGATTTACATTTTACAGTTACATGTTTATTTGTTTATTTTTGCAAGATATGTTTGTCTTTAACAAACAATGAAGTTTATTATACAATGTCCCAATGTGTGAAAGTTTGACTATATGCAAGAAATTTATTGTGATTTACTTTTTTATATTTTATACAAAATATGCATTCTTTTTATTTTTGCAGGGGATGTGTCATAGTTCGAGTTATCAATCATATACATGCAAGAAAGTTTTTTTATTTTTTTGTACAGAATATGTATGTCTTTTTACTTTTACAGACAGCGTGTCAAAAGTTTGACTTCACAAATAAATTCTAAACATTACATGACTTGTTTACAACAAATGATTTGAATTGGCTGAATGGAGAGGTTACTCATCTGACAATCAAATTTAATTTGGTGAATGAATCATTTAGGACATAAGTTATCTAATCTTGCAAGTGTTTGTAGTTATCTCACTTTGTTGATACGAATGACTTGAGTTAAAACAGATAAAATAAGACTAGAGAGACTTTAATATACATTTGTATATTTGGTATAAGAATTATGAAAAATGCCGAGACTTTTGATGCTTTTGCAACACTAATTAAGGCTTCTATTTACCAAATATACACATGAGATAAAGGCTTAGAAGGATTAGCCTTTAGTATATAATTGGGTATGGTCATCTTTCTATTTTCAAAGGATTTAATGTTATGCAAATAATGTATGCTGAGAGGGGTAAAGGTTTTCGACCTGGTGGTTCTGTCTGTCATTAACTAGTCATGGGTGGTGACTTTGTCATAAAGTTAAAGAAATTGATGTAATCATTCAAAATTAATGGTTTATGGAGTGAATATTTTTTTAAATGGTCGGAGTCTCTTTTGTTTGTCTTTAGAATGATATGTAAAGAGTAAGCCTTTTCTATAGAGGGTTATTCTGTAAGCTCTTGGTATGAAAATCATTAGGTGAAGTTTTCTGTGGTATAAATTGTTATTGTAGGATTTATGTTCATCTGTTGTTGAAACGAACTTGTTCTGTCGGCTGGGACATATCTGGAGTCTTCAATATATTTATGTCTTGATCCTTTTGCCTCACGTAAGTGTTCTTTGAATCCACCCACTGTACTAATAGAGGATATTCAATGTTTTGTTGAATATGGAATTTATTTCACTCGTGAGACAAGATTTTTTTTTTATATTTTCACTCGTGCTTCGCACTCGTGAAAATAAAAAAAAAATCCTGTCTCACGAGTGAAATAAATTCCATATTCAACTACAAAACATTGAATTTTCAGTTTATTACATTTTTAAAAGAAAATTCTAAAAGTTTATATTTTTCCTTTGCCTCTGTCTTTTTGTTTAATACAGTCATAGGCTCGTGACGTCATAGTTGAGCAGTTGAGACATCATAGCTTAGTGAGGTGAAAACGCTGTAAGGATGAATTTGGCAACATATTTTTGGTAATTTTGACAGTTTTATTCTCTGTCAGAATGGTTTATTTATTTCTATCTATCTTATATATGGTCAAGAAAGATTTTTTTACAGCAATCTTCGTTATGGGAAGGGAAATTGAGAGTTTTCCCGCACTTCTGATATTCGTCACACTGTGACAGGATATCATTTCGATATCCT